ATAATGTTTGGGAAGGTTCAGTTTCGAATTAAATAACATCCATGCCACAGTGGAAGATAATTAACTGTTTAATTAAATGAGCTCAAAGTGAATTCTTTCAAAGAGATTGAGACATTAACGATTTTCAAAAAAAATAAATAAATAAATAAATAGGCTGGATAGAGCGATGGCGCATTATGGTCTACAGTGCTAAAGTGAATTTTAATAGAAAAGAAAACACTGATACAATAACAAAATTTTTGAATAAATTTTCTAAAGTGTCACCGTTTAAAGTCGGTTCAACAAGTAATAGTCGGTCTTTGTTATGTTGTATTTAACAAAGATAATCCAATTTTAAATTGTCTTAAAAATATATTGAAAATTTTCAGGTGACTTATGCCCGTTATATTCTGAAGAAAACATCTTCCATTTCCCATCGATATATAATAAATAAAATAAAATATAATAAAATCTCCTAATATGCCCATATTTAGTATAAATATAAGTGGGATTGGGAGACTTTCCAAACGATTTGTATACTACATCACATTTTATATATGAAAATCTTCTAATAATACTCGACACTAATTCCATCGAGTACAATGTTGATTTATAGTTTATAATGTACACTAAAAGTAATAAAGGTTACTAGATATCATATAATTGCTGGATTATAGCATTAAAAAAGTTGAAAACTAGTTCTTACTGTCGATAGTGTGTCTTAATCAAATAACAATCTTGATTAATTGATTTGCATTCAATTTATTTTGATGTAATGATTCCATTGCTCACTAACAATTTTAATATAGATCTGAGTATCTTTGTATAGTTATTATAAGTTCAATGGGAATATTTTACTGCGCTTATTACTATTGGAAAAATCCGCATATATAATTGTGTTTCTCCGAAATACTGTGATATATTTTTAACCAAATTGAACTGCAAACAGCTGTAAGGCTGAATAAGTTGTCGTAGACGTAGCGAACATCTAGGTTTATTCTTACTGTGCAAGGTATTTAATTAAAAGATTGTCGTTAACTTCTTTAGGCATGAAATATTTTTGGATATCTCTATACCCAAAAATTACTTCTATCTGTATAAGCCAATTGTGTTTGAAGTACACGGATGTGTTTGTGAAAGATTTATAGTATAAATTGATTAAAAAACTAATTTTATCTTTTATATTTTATGGATTCTTAAAACCACTCGAAGATGCTCTGGAATATTTTTTGGATTTGATTTATGTACTTCATTAACATATTTTTTATTCTTGCCTATATCATTGTCTTTCACGTATGTTAAAAATATACATTTGGGAAATGCAATGCGATGCACTTTCCCCATTGATTCGAACTTGTCGCATCTTTCACGGGTTTCTATTAATGTTTCTATTAATGTTTCTATTCTATTGTGATAGGCACTGATGTGTGGTGCATAATGTTGTATATCCAAAATATATTACAATTATAAATATGTAATGGAAAGAATTGTAGGGTAGGTCATTGAACTGTGCAGGGCACTGTATAGTAAAAGTACAGAGAGACGCGTTCGGTGAACTTTACATCAAAACAAAAACATTTGGGGTTTTTTAAAGGAGATCCAAAAATACACGCTTACAGATTTAAGAATTTTGTGTCTATTGGAGTAAGTTCAGAAAACAATTTTGCGATAGATTTGCATAATGTGAATTAGAATGAAACTGAATTCATTTGCATTCATGTGTTTGCAGTAGAAGATTGACGTTGACGGAAACGTTTTCAGATAAATCTAAAATTTCAAGTTCAATACGAAACTGTGAAGACTTAACAATGTGTTCCATTGTTTGAGTAACCTTGAACCTGAATATTTGTGGGAGATATCATTAGGAATCAGAAAAGAAAGCATAATTGTATATTGTAAATATTTTTAATTTTTGTTAGTCATGTGGTAGAAATTTTGCAAATATTTGCAAATTTCAAAAAAGAATATCTTTTATGAGGGAATACTTTTATGAGGAATTATTTTTGTAATATAAAGAATGTATGGGTAATGCTTCATTCAACCAGATTTTGCCATATTATTACTCTGCTAATTTCTACAAGTAGCTTACATAAAAATCTAAAAAGATTAGATAATTGGTGGACTATCTATTCTAAAGTTCTGCGTCATGAAAATTTTATTTTATTTAATTTCTCTTTTGATAGAAGTAATTACATTGCTTTCAGCAATAATCTATTTTAAAATGAGTACAGTACCCATACATATTATACTCGAAACTTTGTTCATTCTTCGATTTGGTGTTTGATGTGGCAAAGGGTATGAATGGAAGCGAAGTCATACATATTTCCAATATTATTTGCAACGGCTTTGTGGTTATTTTTGGTGATTATACGTTTGAATAAAAATTAAAAGCCGTGCTATGTATACTAATAAGCCATTAATCTTCTAGCGTTTAGGAAATACAGATTGGTTTTGGATGCATTTGTTAATTTTAGTACTACATTTCGGAATGTGTTTAACTCTTTACGTATAGATGTTTGAAGAAGTTATATATTTCGTGCTTCCGATTCATCAGCATTGTTTTAGTGATATATGTCAAACAGATATATATCACTGAATGTATTGAAGTTGTGTAAATTTTTAGTAATGAGGCTCATTCTTCGCTTTCTGAACTTGTCAACGAAAAAAATTGTCGCATCTGGGGTATTGAAAAGGTACAAGAAATCATTTAAAGAGTACATTTAAATTATAATTATATATTATAAAATTTTGAACACTAACACAACTCTTACTGACCCAATATAATACCACTCACAATGTATTCACACAAAATGTAATGTAACCACTTCATTTTTTCTATTACAGAATCATTAGTCGTGGATCTGTACAATGAGGTTGTGATTAAGTTAAGAAGCCTATTTGCCGACAAAGTTCTTAAATGATTATGTATTTATTAGAAATAGATTCAGATAGAAGTTCAGAGCTATTTGAACTGGTAGACTGCCTTAAAAGCTTAATATCACACACGTATTAACAACAGTATCAAGATAATAAGCCGATATGCTTCATTAAAATTTCTATGAATTCCATTAATTATCGGTGGTATATCGAAGATAAGAAGAAATTCTATTTAATTTTTTTATTTTACTGAATACCAAATATATTTATAAGATCGGCTTTATAAAAGAGTACTAAGAAAATTAATAAATAACAGTCTAAGAAAATTGAGCTGTCTATGCGTAGACATAGTCATTATATCTCTTTTCGACGTCTTCTTGGATCAACGAAACGTTTTTATCCGTAGTATTACAATGGGCCATCATTTGTGCTGAAAAGGCATTTCGCGTAGAAGGTTCCCACTGTAATATAACTTAATTTGAGTATATTGAGGTCGACTTATAGAACATATATATTTGAACTCATTGATTCTAAGTCTTCAACAAATCTTTAACCTAGTCATTATACTTTTATCTGAAATTAGGCTTAAAGTATAATTAAATAAAAAGTCTAATTAAATAAAAATAAGTGACAATAAAACCTGGAACTTGAGCATTGAAAGTTTGTGCAGCCTTGGCTTCTTGTGGATAAACACGATTAGTCATCGCTTCTAATTTGACAGGCACGAGTTCTAAGCCTGGTACTTGCAGTCCAAACAAATTATATACGGACTATAAACTAATTAAATAAAATTCGATTATTTCCAAAGACCACTGATGAAGAGTACTTGGCAATACTCGAAACAGCGTTGTATGGTCAGCCAAATTTCAATAAATTAAATAAAAAAATTTTTGTCTTTGCCTTTCTTTGCTATTCAAATCAGTCTAATTTTTAAATTATTTTATAAAGAGGTTTTCAAAAAGTAGTGAACTACAACAACAAAAATTCACATTATATAATTTTAATTATTTGAATTTTGTGGCTAACCATACAGCTATTTCGAGTATTGTCAAATACTCATCATCAGTGGTCATGGAAATAATTATTATATTTAATTATTTGTAAATAATTTTTTGAGATTGCAAGTATCAGAAATCAAACTCGTGCCCTGCCAAATTTGAAGCTCAGAGGCAGTGTTCCTTAACTAACTAACTCAAAGCCTTACTTGACTGTGAAGGCGCTTCTCTCGATATGCCAATGCACGCTGTTCTTTCATAAGTATACATGTTAAATTATTTAAACTAAATAAACAGTCTTAAAATTCAATTGAAAGTATTTTATTATTTTATTTTACTTAATTTTAGTTTATTAAGAATATAAAGAAAGCTAAAATCAAGTCTATGAAAATTGAAAAATTTTGTCTAGATTTTTGTTTATTTAAATTCATTAGCTGCAACACATATTGTTCCTAACTTCTTGGATTGGGTTCATGGTGCATAACTTGGCTTCAAAGAGTTTCTATAGGATTGGAATTAAAATGTTTTTTTTTTCAATTTTAAATCGAAAAATCGAAAACACTTTATGCATTATAATTGCAGTGCATATACAACACTTACTTCACTATGTACGGGGCATGAGAGCAGATACAAATTTTGTATACGTGAAGACAACAAAAACAAAACAAAAAAAAAAAATAGAATGCAGTTCAATCTATATGGTGGACAGATACGAGTACGTTTCGTTTTAGGTAAATGTACAAATACGCCATCAAATATGTTAATAATTTCCAAAAATGGAATGGAAATAATTTTTAAATTTTAGGCATTTCGTTCACTCTCCCCAGCCATGAAGAAATTTGAAATTTGAGGTTTTTTTTTTCGTAAGCGGAGAGTCATTTTACACGGTGTTAGATACATTATCGAAAAAAAATTCTTTAAAAAATATATGTGAGAGAACTGCAACGTTAGAAGAAGAGGGTGTTGGGTGTTGGTAGGTGCTTTGGAAATTCAGAAAAAAAAAATGTATAAAAAGCTCAAGCAATTTAAAGTTTGAACTCAAAAACTTTTCAGCACTTATCACGTGTAGTACGTTAGATTTCTTTACGATATCGTGTAGTTGTCTCATATTTGGTTTAATTTTTGTTTTTAGAAAATTAGAAAGTCAGTACAACCATAAACATTCCATCACAAATATGCATCAAGCGTCGTTATATCACCGAGCAAATAATGCACAGCGTCATGATGCCAAACAAATTTTGGAGGAATATGCCAACATTATACAGTGGCGGCCAGAGGGACGGGACACACTAATCGATATTGGTTGCGGTTCCGGTGATGTATTAATTGATTTTGTATACCCACTGATGCCAGTTAATTTCGAACAATTACTGGGCACTGATATTTCAGCGAAAATGATAGCATACGCTCGAAAGTGTTACGCGGACTTCGAACGAACCAAGTTCAAGATACTCGATATTGGTTGTGAAAAGATTCCAAGCGAATTGAATGGATGCTTCGATCACGTCACATCTTTCTACTGTCTACACTGGGTGCAGAATCAAAAGTAAGTTATTTTATTGCTTTTAAATCGAATTCAAATTTATTGGGTGTGGAATAAATAGTGAAAATCTAGAAAAAAAAAAAGTATATAAAAACTAAGAAGGACTTAAGTGATAAACTAACTAAGGTAAAGAAAAGAATCACTGAAAAAATGAATTAATCTCTAAAAAGAAATTAACTGTAAATGACTCAACTCACTTTATGTTACTGGAAAATTAACAAATTTTATATAAATATCTATTTCAAAGGCAACGGTCTTAAAGTGTTTTTTATATAAAAAAAAAGTGTTGTGTAGAATGATCCCCTGGTATATTACTGAGAGAAGAGAAAGAAGTACACTGCGAAAAATAAGATTTTATCGTAAAATTCTCAATTTTTTTAAATATATTTTTTTGGCTATCCAATAATATTGCCGTGATAAAATTCATCCATTCATCATGCTTAACAGTTTTAATTATTTTATTAGAATAAATTTTTTACATTCAACAATTTTTAAGCTTGTTAGGAATAAGAAATCCAACAAGAATTCAATTTTAAAATTTTATAATTTTTGTCGTTCAATCGATGAAGATTATGTGACAAATTATCTTCTTGCATAACACATACCATTCTTGTGAGACTTTAGCCCACTAAAATCGCCGCTTAGGAATCATTGGAAAAGATTTCCACAGCAATGTGGAAACTTCATTCCAGTCATTTAGGAAAGAAGATGTAGTCAAGAGGCTTAATATATAGAGGTCTAGGTTTATCTAAGCCAAAAATCATAGCATTGTTTTAACTAATTTTTATATTTTACACTTCATTTCATTCTTGTTCCAAAACTCAACTAAATCATACTTGCATACTGCCAAAGTATTGCTTGAAGTATCTAAATATATATATAGTATATAATATATATATTATATATTCCATTTTATGTTTAGTTTGCGTACATATTTAAATATAAGAAATTTACTTTAATACTACAGATGCATTTTCAATATAACGAATTGATTCCTTTTAAACTTTTTAATAGTCTTGTTAGTGAGGAATTAGTATGACGTTGTTCATATTTTGTTTATATTGTTTTCTTGCAAACGAGTACCCAAAATTTCTCAAGAATTCTCCTCAATACTGGCAAAACACAAACTAAACTTTATAGGTCTTAATAGTTGATTGGACTTATGTGAGTAGGATATAAACATATTACATCATATTTCTACCTCAGGCCGGGTAGTTGAGTCCTATTTGTTCGATACTTACAGTTTAATCACAGAAGTGAAAAATTATGAATAAATATATTTTTCAATATTTAAAGAACTTCTAGGTATTGGACAGATTATTGTCGATCTCTAGTTAAAAGCGCTTGTTATACGTTGTAGCTCTATCAGCAAATAGAATATATGTGTTAAAATATATCAAATGATACTTCTATCTCAGGGCCGAGTACTTCAGTTGAAAACTGAAAAAAGTTAAAGACTCATGTTTAAATAACTGTCTGTCATTAGAATCATTATGGATCTATGTGTCTGCTCATAGACAGCTCAATTTTCTTAGACTGCCAAATAGTTTCAACGAATTTAATTGACTGTTTCATTTAATTAATTAATTTTCTTAGTACTGTGAAACCCGTCTAATAAATATTTGTTAATTAAATTAAATTCTATTATTTCCTAAGAACACTGATGATGAGTACCTGACAATACTCGAAACAGCGTTGTATGGGTAGCCAAATTTCAATAAATTAAAATAAATGTTTGTTCTTTTCTTCTTTGCTATTCGAATCCGTCTAACTTTAATAGTTTCTTTTCCTCATAAAGACGAGCCATTATCGGCAATAAAAAATTTAACATCGAAAAAGATCTTCTTTACCAAGTAAAGAGTGCACATAATATGTTGTTAGTCTTCTCTGTAATTGGATTTGAATATATATAGTATATGATGTGATATTTTTACCTTAACTGGAAACATCACTTTGATCGGTACTTGAAGTGTACTCAGAAGTGTATTAAGAAATTGAAAACAAAAATAATAGTCAATGTTGTAATAAATTTGAATCCATTATAGTAGATCTCAATTTGGAAGTATACATTATCTATTTACAGACAAGCTTTACAAAATATTTTTAAACTGCTCCGGCCACAGAGTGGAGATTGCTTACTTGTTTTTCTTGCTACAAATCGCGTCTATGATGCTTATAGACGCCTTTCCACATTGAACAAATGGAGCAGTTATATGCAAGACGTGGAGCAATTCATATCACCTCTGCATAACAGCAAAGATCCTAGCAGTGACTTTAGTAAACTTTTACAGGATGCTGGGTTTGCGGATTACACTGTGGAGATAAGAAATGAAGTCTACGTATATGAGGGGGTGAAAAACGTAAAAGGTGTAATTCAATTGATTTTATTCAGATACAGATACAAACGTATTTCATTTAAAATTTTTCGTTGCAGATAATGTGAAAGCGATTTGTCCATTTTTCGAACGAATACCTGAGCAACAACATGAGGACTTTCTAGATGATTTCGTGAGTACCGTAGTAAGCATGAAATTATATGAATCAAACGGACAGGGTACGGACTATAAGTTCATTTCGCCATATAAATTGGTGGTGGCGTACGCAAGGAAATGCAGTGATTTCGTAAGCAATGTTATCGGCGGTAAACATGTGATTAAAGGATTAAATTAGTTTTTATTTTACTTTAACATACTTTTGGGCGAATTACATTGTAGTTTTATTTCACAATTTTATATTTATATGGTTGCAATATGATTTCTTCTCTAATATTTGCGAATGTATTATAAATATAATTGTAATTAAATCGTTTCGTTTCGTTTTCTTTAGTTTTTAATTTATATACATTTTATTTAAAGTTTTGTTGGAAAACAATTTACTCATGCCATTTCCAATTTTGTTAACATTGATCATCGTCGTTAACAACTTGGCGCTCCTTTCCTTGTGGATGACGACTCCTTTTTGCCGCTTAATTGTAGCTGATTTTGACATAACTAATTATTGAAAAATGAAGTTTGGTGCGTTCGCTGTGCTTTTCCGTATCCAATCTGTGACCAGCTTTGTAGCGCGCGCAGTCCCGGCAGCATCCTTTGCAGTGGGTCTGATTTTAAAATTAGACGTGAAAATATTTCAAACAAATATTTCGATTTTTCAATCATAATTTTTTGGACAGACAAGTAAATGATTTTGAAAATTCATTTACGCCAAATCTGATGACTGAAACTGATGGTGTTGATGATAACCAGAGGCACAGATTTACTACGGCAAGGAATTCAAATCAAGAGCAAATGCCGTCATGCAGGGTTATGGATATTTTTCCGTAAAGGGTTGAAACACTGTCAAGCATATAAAATTTCAATAGAACGATAAAAAGTTTTTCATTAAATAAGTTGAGCAAGTTTGAAAAATATGAAACATAAGATAAGCCTTCTAATAATTAAGTTTAAATGTTACCATAACGAAATATTTCTAAAATAATTTCGGCGTAATGTATCAGTCAGTATCTGACAGATGATATATGCGGTTGTCGACATAGATGGGCTACCACCGCGGTACACTGAAAATAATTAACAAAGTAATCATTTTCAAGGAGAAAATACTCAATACTGAATCGAGTTCTTATAAAGATACATACTGTGAGTATTGGATATTTATTATTTTATTTCGTTCACAGTAAAAATGAAATACAGAAAATATTTTCTTAATTGATACTTTATCCAACTTTGAATTTAACTTTAATCTCAAGTTAATTGCTAGTTGCTGCTTAATCTATAAAAGCTTTATTTTAAGACTTAATTCTGTATATAGATATATGATTGATGGTGGTCATGGTTGAAATCTTTTTCAACATTATCCCATTTCACCAAATATAATTTAGGTGCTGGTACATCTTTGTAACCAGCGACCTCGGTGGTAAGTGCACGCTTCCAAATAACTCTCTCGAAAGAAGGAAAGAAAGAAAAAAAAGAAAACCACAATGGTTGTTTTATACTTTACAATTTTATTTTTATTTATTATTCAATTTTATAAAATTTTAATATATTTTATTAGTTCATTCAATTACATTTTTTAATTTTCAAACTTTACTTTAATTCATTCATTTTCATTTTTATTTTCTTATTTTTATTAATTTCAACATCTTTTAAATTTCATAATTATATTTTTACATTTTATTTCTTTTATTTATAATTTCAATTTTATCTTGATACATTTTTAATTCTTAAAGTTCACTTTAGTTCTTTTCATTTTTATTTATTATATTTTTATTTAATTTCAACTTCTTTAAATTTCATAATTATATTTTACATTTTATTAAGTTCGTCTTTTAAATTAACTCCTCTAGTAGAGTTAGGAATTCACGACCGAGCATGTTGAAATCTTTTTCAACCCTTTTCAGTGCTACGTGACTGAGTATGAAATCTTTTTCAAAATCTCTTCCACTACTACTACTTTCATAATTATATTGACATTCACAACTTAACATATTTGATCCTCCTTTTTATACCCCCGATAACAGAGCAAAAATCAAGCTCATTACTATGTTAAGTTAAAGCTTTGATTTTTGTATAGAAAATACTTTAAGTTCTGTTCTTACAGACTTATAGCATGAAGTTCTAATGTTACTTTAGATTGTAACATTAGCGTCTTCTGTTATCGACATGACAATGTGAGAATTGCTGGTATTTACATAGCGTCATCTCTCAAGCTCTTTGCATGGAATTATGCTATGATCAGCAATAATAATACAGTTCATCTTTTGACTGTATGTGTGTCATGAATTCTTAAGAAGATGATCACGCAATAGATAGATGCGTGTATCTTCTAAAATGTTTACAGTAGCATTTATTGTTACTGTCTGTGCCAATTTGAATTTGTTATATTTGATTGTTCGGCACAGTGGGGCAATTTGGTAGAGGAATATTAGCATCAATGCTAATATGTAACTATATGGTAAGTAGTAAGTTCTTTTATTTACGATTATTAAATTATAACATATTTACAGCAATTTTAACATTTAACTTATATTACCATTTAATCATGTGTAACATAAGAACTACAGATTATTTCAGATAATAACTATTAAGTTGTCTCTCTAAACATTCTGTATATTATATATTAATCTGTTAAACAATTGGGCATACCACTCCGACGATAGTTGATTTGACGGTGTATAAGGCATTCCACCTCCTCAGCAAAAAAGCAAAAATACTTTATGGAGAATAGAATCCTCCTCAATTAGCTTATAAAGACATTATAATTCATTATTTCTTATAATTGTGGGTAAAAGAATGTTGGAAATAACTGCTCAATACTAATGTTGGAAATATCACCGAGTGTGGAAAAGAATGGAACGACCAATAGTTTAAATCTGGTTCAAAGTATTTAACAAATAAAAAAGTACAGCTATTCAATCGTAAATGACTTCACCTTCCATTATTCGATTTTATACATTGCGTTTTTTAATGCTTATATAAATATTCTAAATAGTCTAATCTGATCAGTAAATACACTAACCAGTATCCAATCTACAACTTTGTACTATCATTTCTTAATATTATAGATACCAATTAATAATAGGTTAGGTTAGGTTAGGTTAGGTTAGGTTAGGTTAGGTTAGGTTAGGTTAGGTTAGGTTAGGTTAGGTTAGGTTACTGGGGCTGTCCGAAGACTCATTTGAACCATGAAGTCCATTGTGATACCCTAAAGAATTTGACACCTGTCCCTATAACCATTTGGTACTGACCACAAAGCTATTGACACGAGCTATGTAAATAGAATCTAGCTCTCTTAGTGAATGGACAAAGTGTGACCCTAAGTAGGAGAATTTATGTCTTGCGAAAGCAGGACACTATGGCAGACTGTGAATTTGGTGATTCCTCTTCATTATCCTCCATGCAATATCTATAATGTAAGGAAGTCCTGATGTTGAGCCTCACGGCATGTACTTCCAACGGGCAGTGCCACGTAATTATTAACATTATCTTGGATATATTTCCTCGGAATAGGTTGATTAATTTCCTCAATCTTTTCTTACTAATTTCTGGTCAAAATTCTTTGGTTTTTATGCAGTTGGGCACTGTTGACCATCTTCTTTTAAACATTGGGTATGTCCATAATTTTATTCGATGCCGACAAGAAGCCAATTATGCCGATAAGAAGAACGAATTCAACTGTTAACATAGTGGTTACTACAATGTTACAAAGTACATTTTCCCATCTCGCTGCTAACGGGGCACTAAGTACTTGGAAGAAATCTTATGAGACTTGGTCTATTTTATAATGACTTTTATGGGATTGTGACTACTCAGATGAAAAGGAAACTGTACTTTATCTCAAGTGCCAGTGTCCATCGTTGGCAAGGAAAATTTTTAAAATCTTTAGGGATCTGTTTTTACTGACTTTTTCTTATAATACAGCTGTCATGCTGAAAAATTAAAGACTTGGCTATGTTTTTAAACTTGTCAAGTTGGTTACAATTGAAAGATGGAGGTGCGCCTTTCGACTTTCTTCATACTCTCAACTTAAATCTGCATATGAGCAACGCTAATTCGTGGTATCAGTAATGGGCCATTATTTGAATTCAAACAGGTTTTAGATCGGAACTTCAATCTAAGTGCATCTTGATGGTTCAGTATTATGAAGTGCTGTTACCTGTATGAAATGTGCAGTTCAATGTCGTACTTATTATATTATCCTCAAAACTGATAATAATCGAAGACTTAACTACAGTTAGAGTGTGGAAGAGAAAGTTAATACATAATATTTTTATTTTAATTTCATTAACGATCTTTTATATTTTAAAAAGATTATAATGACGATTGCATATTATCGTTTATATACCGGATCATATATTTCGTAATGCATTATATGTTATATTCAAACCTCGTTAAAAATAAAAAGCGTGCTTTATTTGAATTTAAAGTCTTTATATACTTTTTAGTATTTTTTTGTTTTTGTTAAGATTAATTTTTTAAGTAACTATTTTATATTTTCTTAATTATTTTTAGAGAATTCGCGGTTCATCTCAAAATGAGCTATTATCATCGCTAAGCAATATGCAAATTAGAAATTTCTTATGAAAATTGGTTTTTAAAAGGCGATTTCTTAAGGGTTGCGTTTGGCTCGTCTACATTCCGTTTTCACGATACTTTGATTTAAGCCAATTGTCTTGTTCATATGCAGATTCAAATGTTTATAATACGTTCATATGTTGATATGCCATTGCGTCAGGGCGACAGTGTTTTGTGCTGGCGCGCTTAACCCTCTTGAAAGATAAACATCAACGAAATCTTCATCAGAACCTTTGGCAGCATGTCATTTATTATCATTTTCTGTTTGTGTTTGTTTAATTTTAAGCACATCACGCCCGAGGAAAACTTTTGCTTAACGCATACAACCTACCATTACCAACCAACGCACACACCAATCCTAATTTCTTATACCAATGTTGGACCTGTTCTATTTACGCGGAGTAGTCGAACAAACACAAAAGTTTCTTACGCCTTGAAAATTCTTTGTTCTAACAAATCTGATGTACTTTCTTGATGTTCTCACTACCTCACTACTCTATAAGAATATTTCATATATTAAAGAAAATTGTAGGATGGCGGCTAGACGGGCATACGGGTATTCAGGAAGACAGGAAGACAGGAAGATAGCAGGGTTAAAACTAATGTTTGTCTTAATCTTTGATTTGTTTCT